TTTAGGTTTAAAGATACCGGCTTTGTCACGGGTTAACATGGGATGAGTATTGGGGGGTGGCATGGGAGTTGGTGATTCAGGGGTGGCCGGGAAGGACCCAAAACGGATCGGGCTGGAGATGTTGTGGGTATGGGGTGGTTCGGGTTGGTTGTGAGTGTGGCTGGTGGTTGCGGGTGTATTGTGGGTGACGGTCGAAGGGGTGATGAGGGGTGGTTGGGTAGTGGGTGGAGGTGTGGGGGAAGGTGGTGAGGGACCCTGTGAGTATGTTGGAAAAAGGGGAAGGACGTCAATGAATGATGTATTTGTGGAGGAGGAAATAGACTCGTAGGGAAAATCATTTTCGACAAATTTGACATGATGAGATATGTAGACTTTATGAGTTTGTGGGTCAAGACAGCAATAACCCTTGGAGGTAGGATGATAGCCCAAAAAAATACAAGGACGGGATCGGGGTTGTAATTTATGAGTAATATGAGGGCGTAGCCAAGGGTAGGCAAGACACCCAAAGACGCGGAGGTTGGTATAATTGGGAAGTTCTTGGTAAAGGAGTTGATAGGGTGATTTGTTGGACAGGGTGTGACTGGGCATTCTGTTAATGAGGTAGTTTGCGGTGGCTAGAGCTTCTACCCAAAGGAGACAGGGAGATGAGATTGATGTAGAAAAGTTACCACCGTTTCAATGAAATGGCGATGCTTACGCTCAGCCACCTCATTCTGTTCGGGAGTGTATGGACAGGAGGTTTGATGTATAATTCCAAGGGATTGTAGAAACTGGCCAAAGATGTTATTTACATATTCCTTTCCATTGTCACTTCGAAAAAGTTTAACATGAGAATTGAATTGTGTTTTGACCATTTTTTCAAAAGTGACAAAAGTGGTGTATGCTTGTGATTTGTGTTTTAGTGGGTACAACCAAGTGTATTTTGTAAAATCATCCACAAAACAAATATAATAGCGAAAACCAGCAAATGAAGGAATAGCAGTAGGATCCCATAGGTTAGAATGAATAAGTTGAAAAGGTGCAGTTGTACGCTTCTCAGATAAAGTAAAAAGTAATTTCTGAGATTTAGCAATTGAACAGGAGTCACAATTGTTTACATGAATGAAAGAAAAACATAATTGAGACATTAAAGAATTTATTATTTGAGTAGACGGGTGACCGAGACAACTGTGCCACAACAGACTGTGGCCATTAGCCGAAAGAGCCACCGGAGCCATAGGAATGCTTTCTGAAACTGGTGGGCAAACGAACTTGTGCCAGGAAGAACGTACAGACCATGCTCACAGGGGCCCTGAAAAATCACCCTCTTGGTAGTATTGTCTAGGATTTGAAAATCATTAGAGGTGAACAAGAGTGAAGAATTATTGTCTTTTGTGAATTGGTGAACTGAAAGGAGATTGGTTTTAATAGAAGGGACGTGGTTAAGGTTACCTAGGTGAAAGATAGCGGTGGGGGTTTTAATGGTACCCGTGCCAGTGTGAGAAATGTTAAGGGACTCACCGTTGCCAACAGTAATACCATTGGAGCCATGATATGGATTTGGAGCATTAAGCTTGGATAGATCAGAAGTAACGTGCATGTTGGCCCCAGTATCCAACAACCATTCAGAGGAAGGGCCGGCTTGAGATGCATAATTGGCACGGTTATCACTATTTCGGCTCTCCTCATACCGAAACCAGCAACGAACAGCGGTGTGTCCTGTTTTCTGACAGATTTGACAAGTTGGACGATCCCGCTCGTAAGTCCCCTGCCCGCCGCTGCCGAAGGAGTGCAGGCTGTTGTTGCTGCCGTGCTGCTGACCGTCGTATGGCGGACGACTGCCCTGCCGACCGCCGCGCCCGCGGCCTCCGCTGTTTCTACCGTAGCCGCTGCGGTTCCCCTGCCGGCCGCCACCACGCCCCCCGCGATAGTTCTGGCTTGCGGTGAGGGCGGTGGCCGGCTCCATAACAGCGGCTTCTCGTAGAAGAAGTTTGCTCTCAAGATCCACGTTGATTTCTTCACTTCTTAGCCACGAGGAGAGAGTAGCCAGGTCAACGGGCGTTGGACTGATGCGAACCGCCTGTTTAATGGAGGAGTAAGCTGATGGGAGCCCCCGAACGACGCACATGACGAGATTTTTTTCGGAAATGATTTCGTTCACGGTGTCGAGGGCTGTGATGATGGTGGAGACCTCGTCTAAATACTCCGCCATAGTTTTCGTGTCTTTGATAATTGTGTGGAGACGATCACGCAATTGAAAAATATGAGAGTGGGAAATTGATGCATAGCGTGTTGCGAGGACCGTCCATAGGGCTGAAGAAGTTGTGTAGGATCGGACGTGTTTCTGAACCGTGAGAGAGATGACCGCAATCAAACATGATCGGATCTTGCCATCCACGGCTTTCCAGGAGGCATGGGCCGGATTGGTTTTTTCTGATTTGTCCGTGGCGGTGATGACTGCCGGCGGCGGTTCTGTGCTTGCATCGACGTATTTGAGAAGGTAATTGGCCTCAAGGGCTGTAAGAACAGTGATTTTCCATGTAGAGTAATTTATGTCTGATAATTTTTCGGGAATTAGGGCATGAAGATGCCTGAGAAGGAGTTTAACGCCAGAAGGAAGTGAATCGAGAGGATCCACCTCGGTTGTCATGGCTGCCGTCGTCCAAGAGAAGAGAGGGAACGATCGGTGCCCTAAAGAGAGAAAAAAAAACCTAGAGAAAAGAAGATCTAGGTTTTCTGGCTCTTGATACCATGAAGGAATATTGATATTTTTGAGGTGTTAAGGGAATACATGGGAGATATATAGGAGATATAGGAAGGAGTACTAATCCTAGTAGGACTAGGATTAAAGAGTACTAATCCTAATAGGACTATAATTAGCACACAGTAAATACTAATATTATTTTATACTATTTATTTAATACTATCTGTTATTTACACATATCTCTATAAATTTTAAATACAATATTAATTAAATAAAATGGAGGTAGTAATATTAATTTCTTAGCTACACATTTCTTCTTAAAATAATAGGTGACAATCATTACACCATAACGAGAAATATTCTACATGATTTGAAAAGTTTTCGTTTTAAATAATTATTGATACAAAGAACGATTGGAGAATATGGACCATTATGTCAAAAATATTTGGACAACAAGTTCGTATCTTTGAAAATTGTAATTTATATGTTTCCACTAATAGGTTGAATTAAACACTAAAGTTTTATTTATTTATTTTTTAATAAATATAGAAGCACCGATGCCTCTCTTTATGTGTTTGCGTTATTCACGCTGATCGAGTGGGTTCCTCTTGTTAGAACAATTTATAGAAACGCTAGAATTAAATAAAACAAAGAATTCCTTAGGGGTTTTGATACATAAACTTTGACAATAAGATTCGAAGTGTAGAGTTTTTTCTTGAAGAAATTTCAATCTTGTGTCGACAAATATTTTGACGATAAGAATGTCAAAAAAAGCATATTGTTATAGTGAAAAATACATTAATTATGAATGTCAAAGTTAAAATTGTAATGAGAAGTCGATAAATTGATAAATTAATGCGTCTATTTGTTCAAATTTATACAAATTTAAATATTTATTTGTTCATATCTTAAGTTGAAGAGCATAAATATAAAATAAAACAAAGTTAAATAGTCTATTTATAAATAGTCTATTTATGTGTTGTGTCAAAATAAATTTGATTTTTTACAAAACTATTTTTTTTTAAAAAAATAAGTTAATTATTTTCCCAATCCAGCTAGTAATCAATATTTCCCGGTCAGTTTTTGTCTTTGTGAACGGCCGGCCGGCCGATGTAGAGTATGTTCAGTCCGACAATATCGAAATTGGCAGTGATGTTGTCACTCAATAGAAGAACGAATTCAACCACACCAAATGAGCCCCTTTTACACACACAAGACACGATGTTGGAGGAAAAGGAAGAATCAAAAGCATCAAATTTGGTGAAAAGAACTTGCCAAGAATCAAAGATGATATGGGAAATTGCTGGACCCTCTATTTTCAATCGATTGACCATGTTTTCTCTCACTGTCATCAGTCAATCCTTCGCCGGACACTTGGGTAACCGTGACCTCGCCGCACTTTCCATTGCCACCACCTTCTTCATCTCCATTACTTTCGGATTCTTGGTATGTCTTACTTTTTGAAAGATTTATAAGTTATATGCACTCATAGTCAGAGATGAAGCTAGCATTTTGAGTTTATGTTTTCTACCATGTTATTGATAAATGTGGATTTAAACATAAATACTTGATTTTTGCTATAGCTACTTAGTTATGCTGAACCCATTTGTGCTCATAGTGTATACTTTTTAATATTAATATTGTACATTTTCTACCTTGATTGATAGTGTATATAACTTAAACTCAAGAATAGAAAGTCAGCAAATTATTGGATCTTGCAATAAGAAATAAGTAATGAGGTAAGAAGTTTGATTAAGATCCATAAGTCTATTGTAGAGGAAACTATCATCTACGCAATGTGATTTTTTTGGTTGAAATTTTGTTGATGTTGTGGTAGTGTAACTAGTGTTGCTAATTGGTCAGCTGGGAATGGCAAGTGCATTGGAGACACTCTGTGGACAGGCTTATGGGGCAAAGCAATACGCCTTGTTAGGTGTATACTTGCAGCGTTCTTTGATCGTATTGTTCCTCAGCTCTTTAGTACTATTGCCTCTTTTTGTGTTTGCTGAGCCTATATTGGAGCTTCTGGGGCAGCCAGAAGAAGTGGCCAAATTGACTGGAAAGGTTGCAATTTGGCTGATCCCAATGCACTTGAGCTTTCCTTTTCAATTTACATTGTTAAGGTTCTTGCAGTGCCAGCTTAAAACAATGGTAATTGCTTGGGTTTCCGGTGGGACACTTGCTCTTCATGTGGTTTTGTGTTGGATTTTTCTTTATAAATTGGGATTTGGAATTGTTGGGACTGCCCTTATTCTTGATATCTGTTGGTGGATTTCTGTGTTGGGACTTGTTGCTTATGTTGTTTTCGGTGGGTGCCCTCATTCTTGGACTGGTTTCTCTATCCAAGCGTTTGTTGGCCTTTGGGATTTTCTCAAGCTCGCTATGGCTTCTGGGGTGATGCTACTGTATGGTTCCTTTTGTCCTCATCTGTCTCTGTTATTAAGAACATAGTCACGTCGATATATGGATTAATATTCTTTTAAGGCATAGAAGTTGATGTTTCAGGTTGGAGAATATTTATTTCAGAGTGCTAGTTATTGTGTCTGGGTACATGAATAATACTGAGGTTGCAGTCGATGCGCTCTCTATCTGGTTCGATATTTTAATCGCATACTCAGCTTTTGGAAATGTTTTTCCGCTTGATTTTGCTAGTAATTGATGTTGTTTCTTCCCAGTATTACTATCATCGGGTGGGAGTCCATGATTCCACTAGGATTTTTGGCTGCCACAGGGTATGTTAATCAAATAATTTTGAGTCCATTTTTTATTGTCTTGTGGGTGTTTCCTTTTGGCTTTCCAATAATAAGATGCGGAAACATAACTTTACCTTTATCAAAAAAAAAATGACGCGGAAACATTTAGCTTATTTGTATTTATCTTTTCTCTTCTGGTACATGAATACGTATAACCATTGAAATTTTAATGATTATAGTGCTGTAGGAACGTTACATCCAATAACCATTTCTATAAACACAGGGTACGTGTTGCTAATGAGCTTGGAGCTGGAAACGGAAACCGTGCAAAGTTTGCTACGAAAGTTGCATTGTTGAACACTTTAGCATTGGGAATTTTCTTTTGGTCAATTATTATGGTCTTTCCTGATAAGCTTTCTATGATCTTCACCTCAAGCATTCCTGTCATTAAAATGGTGGGTGGATTTGCTTTCTTGTTGGCAACCACAATCCTCTGTAATTGTGTTCAACCAGTTCTTTCAGGTGAGATTTTTTTCAGGAGTTCAATTTTGGTATATTGTTCTCAACTATCAGGTATAGAGGCGTATTTAGCTTTATAGCACCGGGTTCATTTGAACCAAGTACTTTTGACAGAAAGTATATATTTATGTGTATAAATTGATTAAAATAGCAACAACTAGTAGGTGCACATGAAGTTTTGAACCCATTAAATTTAAATTTTTGATCCGCCTCTGATCGCATACTAAAAGATAAAGAGAGGAATTAGTAACCTACAAAGTAAGTTATCTGCTAAACTAGGTTATATACTCTTATAACGTAACTTTAGTTGACATGGTCAGTGTCTAAAGTATATAAGTTAAATCCATCTTAAACCACTAAATACTGGCATTCATATGAAAAGTCATGTATCACAGTAGTTAAATGCTCATCGGTTACAATGTTTTCAGGCGTAGCAGTTGGATCCGGTTGGCAGGCACTTGTGGCATATGTTAACTTAGGCAGCTACTATTTAGTAGGAGTGCCCCTTGGTATCTTTTTTGGATGGTCACTAAACTTTGGGTTAACGGTATGTGATAATAGTACAACGTGATATGTTTGACTTTATCTCCCTTTATAATATTAACTGTGGTGAAAATGACTATAATCTACTATAATCTACTATACTCATATGTATACTGGGGAATCGAGATGAGATTAATCAAATAAAATTTGCAGGGCTTATGGTATGGAATGATCATGGGGACAGTAGTTCAAACCTTGATTTTAGCGATTATGACCATCAGATGTCAATGGACCATATAAAGAGGTAAAATATCAAATTAGATAGTTCTTTTTTCAGTATCTCTATGTATAGCTAAGACCTTCTTCCTCATCTTAATTTCTATTGGAGTGGAAAAGCTCGAAATGGTTCCTTATCTTTGAGGTTAGACCCAAAATAATAGAGCACTGTAGTCGCATAAGTTCACAATAATGGAGCTCAGTTAGTAATCCCAAGCACAAATCGTGGTCTTTGAACGACAGAATTGGTTAAGTATCGAAGTAGACCAATTAACTCCTCAGTTACACTACGTACTGTGATAATTTGACCCTAATCATGACCCCTCTTCTTTTCGACCGACCCTTTTTCACATATATAAAGGATCATGAATCTTGTCCCGCATTACGCCACAACGTGAGCTCTTACTCTAAAACCTTACATACACAAAATCTTGACAGCTTGCAACTGGAAAGGAAAAACAAAAACAACTTAGGTATGAGAATTTGAAATTCAAGAGGTAGGTCAATGTTATCGCTATTGATTCATTAAGGCTCATTGACACAAGGTTCCATTCTTGCAGGCATGGTGAAAGTTTGTTGTCTGCTTATGTTGGAAGATATCTATGCTATTTGTTGTTGTATAATAACTTTGTTCCAGTTTGGATTTTTCTCCCCATTAAATCATCTGTATCCGAAACTCACTTGAGCATTCCCTCCAATTGCTTATGTGCTCGGCGATGGGAGCTTGCAGAGACAGACAGTGATGAGGTCTCATTAGATGGAGTGCTTCTTTTTACCCCTCTATTTTTGATCTTTTGGCATTAGGAGAGCAGGGGAGAGGTGTTTAGACAATACAATGGCAAGCTTACCGAGGAAATGAGTCTTATACGAGGATATGGATCGTTGTTGATACTAATATTGTTTACTGTATTTTCTTTTCCTGATATGCTTTACTTGATATGAGGGTCTATCAAAAACATCCTCCCTATCCCTATAAAGTAGGGATAAGGTTACGTTCCCTCCATTTTTTTCAAACTCCATTTGTGGGATTGAACTGGGTATGTTATTGTTGTTGTAGAGAAAGCGCGCAGAAGTGTGTCTGAGTGGTATAGATATTGAATTCATTGAAGTATTTTTTTTTTTAAATCTCGGTGAGCTTCTAAAGTTGCCTTGTATAATAGGTTTAAATATTACCTGAAACGTTTAGCAAAATCAATGACTCATAATTTTTTGGAAATTTGAGCAAGATTTTGGGTTTACTAAAAGCTAAGTCAGATATGCAGAAAGAGTTAATTGAACTAATCAACTAAATTATTATAAACTCGAGAAAGTTTGATCTTATAGACAACATCGTTATGACAAAGATTCTAGTGTTAAAAGGAATATTACTGCAAGGAACAGAGGGGAGTGTATATTATATACCCAATCGACCAACTGTATCCAATGTCACAGTGGGGTTCCACAGTAGAGAGATACTATTAAGTATTAACTAAATTTTGAGGAAATTTGAGAGCTACAAAGTGGTCGCTGATATTTTTTGCCTATATATATATTTTTTTGATCGGAGGGAGTTTGAGTTGGTTGCTTCTTATGTATTTGGCACTCTTAATCATAGAACACATTTTATTTCTCGATCAAATTGTTTTAAAATGTTTTTTACTTGAGCCGAGAGTCTTTTGAAAATAATCAACTCCATACCTCCAATTAGGTAGGGGTAAAGTCTACGTAGTGGGTACACCCTCAGTTCACAGCTCTGCCGTAGAGCTTAACTCCTCCGTTTTCCAGGACACCAACATTTTCAAGCTTGATCATTGAAGCAACAAATTCCCTGAAGAACGTAGCTTGATCATTGACAAATACCTTAACAATCAATCCACTATTGTACCCATTCGACAAACTCTCTGATGCAAAAACATCTTTGAGATGATTGTTCGTAATGTCTCATGGAGACTTGCAATTCTGCAATTTTCTACTTTGTATCATCTCCTTAGCACCTTATCACTCAATCAAATGGCCTTATTGCACGATTCGATGGCCATGATTGGATACTTAAGAAACGTTATTATGAGTAACATTGTATGAATAAAATGTGACTCAAAGTAACGTATTATAAAACTTTACTCACAGTAACGTTTCTCAACTTAACACCGTTAGCATACATCTGAATTTTTTTTTTTAAAAAAAATATACCCTAAAGTGTGGAATACGTTTATACTAGTTTTGTAAGTTTTAAATAAATGTAGTATTTTGATAAATTGCTTTAAATAATGGCTTAGTTTAGTCAAAAATTCAATAATTAGAGGCCCTACATTTATTGAGTATGTATGCAACATGGCTTAAAACAAACCATATGTGTTTTTGCAGGGGTGTTCAAACCATTTTAGGGGTGATCGTCACCGTTGTTATACTACGTCCGATTGATGCAAATTCTAATTTAAATTCGTGCTTGAAAATTTCACATTAGAGGTAAGGGATACTTATCACACAGTCAAAATATATTTTAATTTCAGGATATACTTTGATTCATATTTTTGTAATTAATTATAAGTGTCGTTTTACAACACCAATTTTTAAAACGTATAAATCTCATTTTTGGGGTTCAATGGTTACTAATCTCGAACAACCATTGCTCGGGAGTTTATTATACAGATACACGATCCCGTGTCAGCACGGGACCCAATATAAGTTCCTCTTTTTGTTTCAATTTTTGTGATACATATGAAATTTCAAAAGTTAACCAATTTTTTTTTATAAGTTTTGAGATAAATGTAAAAACACATCTAAACTATACTCTTATTTTGAGTTTCATACCTAAACTATTGAGAGTATGAGTTTCATACCTAAAGTATAACTTTTTAATTTGAAAAACACGCATCTTTCTTTTATACCACGCTCATCAGTGTGTGTAATACACTCTCTTTTATTTTAAAATAATATTACATCATACTCTACATGGACAAACCAATAAATAAAAACAATTTTTTAGTATTGTTGAAATTAAAAATTAGAAAATTATTATCCAAAAAATTAATTTATTTTATAAAATAAAATGTAAAATATTTTTCTTGCCCCGCTCCATCACTTCCTCTAACCGCCCTCACCCCGCCGTCTTGTTTAAATTTCTTTTATTAAAAGTATATTTTTTACTTCATCCCCCCCCCCCCCCCCCCAACCAAATACTAATTTAAATATTATTTTAATTTTTTGTAAAAATAATTCTACCCATTTGACCTAACCGTCCACTTTCAATTTTTTTCCTCATTTTGTGTTAGATATGCTAACATATACATATCGAAAATATTTTTTACTTACCGCTACAAGACTTTTTTATTTTTCATTTATTTATGTTATATTCGTACACTAGTAGAAATTTTTTCTCTAAAAATATATGTATGTATATATTTCACACAAAATGAGAAAAATATAAAACATAAAATTAAATTAGGAGTATAGGGTAAAATAGGATGCGGTAGAATTTTTAACTTTTAAAAAATAAAATAATATCATTTTCTTTTTTAGAGGGGGTGGGGGGTGGGGTGTAGTTACGTGGAGGAGCTGGTGGAGTGGGGTAAAAAATAAATTACAATTTTAATCATAATTTTTTTTAATGGATAGTAATACTTTAATCATTAATTTTTAATTAATAAAGTAATAGTTTATATTTAATTTTTGTTAAGGTGAAATATTTTATTTATGTGGAATGCCATGTGTCATGATTTTTTCAAATAAAAGAGAGAGTCCATTAACTTATCAGTGAAGTGTGCTCCTCAAATTAAAAAATATGATAATTTAGGTATGAAACTCACACTCTCAATAATTTAGGGATGATTTAGGTGCGTTTTTTATCCTTATCTCTAAGTTCTTTTATATGTTTTAAATATTTTAAGTTATTAATTAGTATAATTTATAATATATTTTACATAAATTTTTATTTTATTTCCTAATGTAAATATTTCGACGCTAATCTAAATTTAGTCGAATTCTAATATAGATATCGAACCGAATAAAAAAAAACATAAAAATTTAAGGAAGAAAATATAATGAAACACGGTGGCCTAATCTAGAACCTAACTATTAATTAAGCAAAGAAGTAAGGCACTTGTAAACGTTGTGGCAGAGATGCCTACTTAACAAAAGACATGTTGACGAAGAGGCCTCTGCTTGTACCCTATTCTACTCGGTAAAATAGTAACAAAATTTATATCTAGGGTCTTCACAGAAAATTGATAAATTACGTGATCAATATATCAAAATGAAAATTAAATCAAGCTGCAAAAAACTCAATAATATTTGATTTGATTATTTATATTGACATCTGATGTAAAGTTTTATTTAATTTAATTAAACCAACTATACAAATACTATTTAAAATTTTTATAATTTTAGACACACATATATAAATATTTGAAAAAATTATAATATGCTACCTTTTGTTCTTTTGAGCCCAAACTTAACAAAATTTGCACAACATAAATAACTTATTAAGATATCTAAATCAAATCATAAACGCATAATTACATTCTTATTTAAGTCGTCTTTGTTGTATATATCGTTATCAAGTCTAGATTATATATCAAAACAAGTTGGCATCAAATTGATTGAGAAGTAGCCATTTTCGATTTTGCTACATAGTTGTCCGTTCTATTAGTATATACTATGCTTTTTAGATTTTAACATTTTTAACCATATTTTGTTATATAATAATGACAATCACTGGTCAACATTAAAAACTATAGTACATTTAAAATATCGTAGGAGACGAAAAAAGAAGAAGAAGACATGTTAGCATGTGAAATACTTGCCAAAATTGACATGAAACAGTGTACTGAATTACTGATTACGGCGTCTGTATGTCTTTTCTTATAAAACCCAAAAACTGTATTGTCCCTTTGGTTGGCCCCATTGAATTCAGAATTGAGAAAATTATGCACAAAACATATTATGTAATACAACTATAATAGTGATTATTTTTAATTTGTGGATATAGTTCTGCGAAATTTTTATAAATAGATCAGCCTAAGGGTGTGTTCTAATATGGAGGAATATATATATATATATTTTCAATTCTAAATCATTTTCATTTAAAAAGTTGATTAACTGATTTATATTGTATGGAAGATGCTTTTTTAAAAAGAAAAAAAAACTAATTTTCAAGTTTAGAAAAATGACTTCTTGTTGTGTATGTTTCTTTATCAGTTTCTTCTTTTATCGTGCATATTCTTATCATAAATTTGTCCTTTTATTTTGTGAAACATAACATAACAATTTTGAAATCTCTTTTAATATAAAATTTTGTCCATTACGATTAACCAAGTAATATCTTTCCTAAATAACATAGAGAAAATTGATTTTATAAATAACGTTCAAAAGTTAATTTTTTTTTCATACACATTCTAGGATTAGTTTAATTTTATTGAAACAAAATTAGCTGATGAAATTTCAGTTGAAGTAATGCGACTTAGATTCCCCTTCTCGTAATATTAAGCTAAATCAGATGAGAGTGTAATATTTTTTTGTTTACTTACCAAATATATATACGCGGATTTAATTTAATGAATTGGCCAATTGTAAAAACTTGCATCGTCACTGTTACTTTATTATTTTCTATAAAATCCCTCTATACAACTCTATTTTTAGTACCCAATTCTTATATCGTGGCTGATTTTAGTTCTAGTGTTACAAATGGGCAGCGTTATCGACGAGAACCAGCAACCATTACTGTTGGCGGAGAATAAAATTGAGGATCTGAAAACAAGAGTATGGATTGAAACCAAAAAACTATGGCATATCGTCGGTCCAGCCATCTTCAGCCGTATAGCTTCTTACACCATGAATATTATCACTCAAAGTTTTGCTGGTCACCTTGGTGAAGTTCAACTTGCTGCTATCTCCATTTCTAATACCGTCATTGTTGGACTCAACTTTGGTCTCCTTGTATGTACATATCCCCTCAACTTCTTTCAAATCTTACACTATTATTTGTACTCATCTGCACATTTGAAAAACAGGGACGATTTATTGAATCTTCTTCATCAAAATTGTTAAATTCTAATCATCTTAACACCCGATTCAAAAGTTGTATTCAAGTTACAAATTCAATAATTTTCATGTTAAAGAATGACAAAATGAAAAGGATGAACGTGTTATGAGGCTTGGGCAATTCTATTCTTGTTTTTTGGGTATGAATTAGACCTAAGATCTAATTTAACGAATCCCTAAAAAAATTTCTTTCAAATTGATTTGATTGGAACTTCATCATCAAAATTACTGACTTCCTCTGTTTCAATTTCGACATGTAAATGAAGTTAGGGATGTCGAGTGCATTAGAAACGTTATGCGGGCAAGCTTATGGAGCGAAAAAGCACCATATGTTAGGAATATACATGCAGAGATCATGGATTGTTTTAACCCTCTGTTGTTTCCTTCTCCTTCCGATGTACATATACGCTACCCCAATTTTAAAATCGCTAGGTCAACCAGACGACGTCGCAGAGCTATCAGGGATAGTGGCGTTGTGGTTTATTCCGCTACACTTCAGCTTTGCTTTTCAGTTTCCGATACAGAGGTTCCTTCAGAGCCAGCTGAAGACGGTGGTTATCGCCTGGATTTCACTGGCGGTGCTGGCGATTCACACGGTGATCAGTTGGTTGTTTGTGTACAAACTGAATTTGGGGTTAGTGGGAGCCGCCGTAGCACTAGACATATCGTGGTGGTTGCTGGTTGTTGGAATGTTTATGTACGCCGCATGCGGTGGGTGCCCAGAAACGTGGACTGGCTTCTCAGCACAAGCATTTTCGGGACTTTGCGAATTTTTTCGACTTTCCGCTGCTGCTGGTGTTATGCTTTGGTAAACATAAAATAAAAAAATGGATTTATCAGAAATCACTCTCAAAGTAATTCATAACTATCGGAATTTTAAATTACGAAATGGAAAATTAAAAGTAAAAAAAAATGATATTATTATTTAATTTGGAAATTTTTGTAGCTTGGAGAACTGGTACTATCGGATATTGATGTTGATGACAGGATATTTGGAGAACGCGACGTTGGCCCTTGATGCGTTGTCCATCTGGTATGTCATTAGTCGTGTCACATTTTTAAAAATAATTGAATTTATTTTTAGACTATAATATTTTCTTTTAAATTTTTCTTGCGTCGAATTAAATGATGTTAGAGAAAGAATAATTATTGAGCTAAACTTAACAATCTAAGTATTGAGCAATACTTCTTTATTTTTGTTTCCCTTTATTGCAGCATGAATATTAATGGTTGGGAGATGATGATACCGCTTGCGTTTTTCGCTGCCACCGGGTAATTAATACACCTCTTTTCTTTTATATGTATAATAAATATAAATAAAATGATATATTTTCTTATTCTCATTTTAAGTCATCTATAATCTCTGGCCAGATTGGTAATAAGATATTTGAGTTTAATACAATTAACATGTCTAAAAAATGTATTGAAAATGAGTATAAAAAGGAAATCTAATATGTATTAAAAAAAAGTCAATTTTAGAGATATAAAAATAACTCTCTCTATTAAAGAGTCTTACACGCTTCAAACTAAAATTAGGTAGCCTTAAAAGCAAATACCCAAACACGTGATAGTCATAAGATATAATTTCATCAAAATAAGTATAGGATGGAAATACGGCAATGCGGGGCGAGCTAACACTCCTTAATTTATTTTATGTGTCGAACTTATAAATCTACCTGCAAGATTTAACACAGTGAAAACTTATTAGTTTTTCAAAAGGACATATCATCGATCTCTACATCAAGGGATGAATCAATCAACTTATTATTTTACCAATATATATTATTATCATTGATTCTACCAGACATATCAACTCATATTAGAATCTTTCCTTATAATAAATCAATACGACAATTAATATATACATGTCATAATAGTTACATTAGGATTGAGAATATAGTACATTTAACTATTTAAGAAATATGTTTTTGCCAGTCAGTCTAAACTCTAATCAAAGTAAAGTATATATAATCTTATAGCGATGACATGTCCAATTTCTGTTTTAGATTGTGAAGAAAAAAAACTCCATACTTAAAAAAATGATGATTTAATCCTCTTAGCACAAACTAAATTTGTATACACTAAACCATCTACTATATAAGTTAACAGATATCATAAACAAATATATGATCCATTATACTATATACTATGTTTTATCATATATTTAATAATATACATCTCAATAATTTCTCACTTAGACATTTAACCATTGCAATTATTATAATGTACTATACTCTAACAATCTTTTAATTGGATGTTTAATCTTAAAAGAATTTAAAATATTATATCTGAAAACATGCTTAATAAGCATATACGATTAGAGAGGGGATAACTTTTTTATTGAAGTTGTTACGTGTTGTGAACTTGTGATGCGTAACAATTGACACAAAACGACATTTAAGAAAATGATGTTGTTGTCTCTTTGTACCATTTGATTTGTGGTCATAAATAAAATATACAAAGGCATAGTTGCAAACTGATAATTGTCAGTCTCAGCATTTGTGTTTCTTTTGGATCTTAATGTAATACTAATATATTCAAATTAAAATTAATTTGAACTGATAAACTCAGTGATTCACGTTCTTGTATTTTAATGTTTCAATGTTCATATCTATCAATTGAACATAAAAGATACAAACAGACAACATATTATTAAGTGTAATAAGTTTCTTTCTTGTCTTTATTGAATTGCATAGGATAAATTAAAATTAAACCTTATACCTATCCTTTCATTTCACACTTATAAGCATATATTATATATCTACTACGTACTGAAGTTGAGATTGTAGTATTGTTACAAACTTAATATAGTAATCACAAACGTCATATAATATGAATATTTATAATTGAAGATAATATTTCATATGATCACTTGACTATAAATTTGCTGTTAGAAAGTCAATTACATAAATAAATCGTCCTCCCATAACGTTACTCAACAATCATTTATATACGGATTTTTTTTCTCCAAAAAAAGTCCGTTAACTTTGTTTTTAATCAAAAAATCACTCAAATATGAAATCTTTAATTGCCTACTGTTGAAATTTATGCAATTATGTTAGCTTTAGTGTCCTAAAGTTAGTTAATGTCAAGTTAGTTAGCCGCTACAGTAATTTAGTTAGCTGCTACAGTAACTTTCCATTTTTCAGTTAATTAGCTTAGTGTAGTTAATCGTTACTTAGCTAGTTAGTTGCCTCGATTAATGTGTACTTAGTTACCTCGAGAAATGTGTCATACATTGAGTTAGAATGCTATATAAGTTAGCATGAGGCTTCATTGTAAAAATAGATCATTTTTCACTTCACAAGTTCAATACAATTCTTCTTCCTCTTTCTCTTAATTCTGTCTAGATTCATTATTGCAATGGTGAATTCATGAACTCACATTTTATCATGGTATCAGAGCAGGAGATGCTGGATTTTTAGTGCAGGAATCTAGTGGAGTTTAGATCTCCTCTAGCTGTTAAAGTTTGTGATTTTTTTTTCTGCTGGAAGAGTTTAGATCTCATCTAGCTAATTGGTTTTTGTGTTGATTGATTGGTTGTGAGGTTGCTTTTCTTCTTCTTGGAGAGTTCATATCTCAACTAGCTAGTTCATTTTGTGTTGATTTGATTTATAAGCTCGATAATGGCTTTTTTAAGAATTGATCAAAGTGATCCTCTGTATATTGGACATATCTGACTCATTAGGAGCTATGATGATACCTATCAAGCTGACTGGCTCTGAGAACTATGGTGTTTGGAGCAGATCCATGAGGATTGCACTTTTAGGGAAAAGGAAATATGGTTTTCTAACTGGTGCCTGCACCAAAGCGTTGTACCAAAATGAGCTACACGACAGTAGGAAACATGTATTGTCATAGTCTTGTCATGGTTGATGAACACTGTGAGTGAGGAGATTCTCAGTGGTATAGTTTATGCCACAACTGCATTCTCAGTTTGGGCAGATCTCAAGGAAAGTTTTGATAAGATCCATCGCATGAGAATTTACCAGTTGCACAAGGAGATCACTACACTCACAAAAGGTACTGATTATGTGTCTTACTATTTCACTAAGCTCAAGACTTTATGGAGTGAATATGATGTTGTGACACCACATCCTAGTTGCACATGTCCACAGACTAAGGAGTATGTAGATCACCTTCAAAAATTGAGGCTAATTCAGTTTCTAAGTGGCTTAAATGAATCATATGATTAACCTTATAGACATATATTGTTTAAAGGAGTTACACCTTCTTTAAATCAAGCATATGCCATGATCATAGAGAATGAAATTCAACGTTCAACATGCACAATCAATGTAATTGATAAGCCAAACTCAATGGTGATGAATGTGAAATCAAGGGAAGGAATATTTTAAGGGTAAGAAGTGTGAGTACTGTCACTTTACTGGTCACATTAAGGATAATTTCTATAAGCTAATTGGTTATCCAAGTGATTGGAAGTTCAGAAAGAAAACAATTTATGGTAATAAGAACACTAGTGGTGGCTTTGGTGCTGGTTATGGAGGTCAAGATATAGCCAACAATGTGACTGGTGATTCAAACAGTTCATATGATCAGTCTCAACTAGCTTCAACTAGTCAAAGTGCAGGAGATGACACAGGTTTGACAGAGGCACAAGTATTCACAGAGAAGGAATATAAACAAATTTTGGAGATGCTGAACAAAGAGTAGCTTAAGAGAGTTAACATGGCAGGTATTACAACTTGTTTAATGTCAAAAAAAAAATTTCCTCACAAGACTGGATTGTAGATTATGGTGCAACTCATCATATCACAACACATAAGCAGTCACTGTTTAAGAGTCATGAATTGAGTAAGTAGGTACATTTACCCACAGGGGATAGAGTAAATGTGAATCACATTGGTGAATCAACTATATTTGATGACGATATTGTGAGAAATGTACTGCATGTACCAGACTTCAAGTTCAATTTGCTGTTAGTATCCAATATAATAAGGGAACTATCTTGCTTTGTATCATTTTATCCTAACTTCTGTGTTTACCAGGACCTCTTCAGTGGAGGTCTATACATGTTCAAGAGTGGCTCAACATTGAATAAAATAGACAAATGTAAGCAACAAGTGATGGATGCAGGAATAGCAAGACAAGATACTCAACTTTGTTATCAAAGACTTGGGAATCCTTCTTACTTTATCATGAAACATTTAAATCTACTTTCTAGCAATAAGAATGATATACTTGTTAGTTGTCATGTTTGTCCATTAGCTAAGCAAATAAGGCAAGTATTTCCTAGTAGCAATTCTAGGGCTTCTACTAGTTTTGACTTGGTTCATATGAATTTATGGGGAACATATAAGACTCCTACTCTAGACAAGAAGCACTATTTTTTAACTATAGTTGATGACTACAATAGATTTGTTTGGGTTTACTTGTTGCAATTAAAGTCTGAAACTCTTGCAGCCATAAAATTGTTCTTCTCTATGATCAAGACTTAATTTGGTGCACATGTTAAAGTTGTGATATTAGATAATGGTAATGAGTTCTTCAACTCTCAATGTATTAAATTGTTTTATGAACTAGGAATACTTCATCAAAGCAGTTGTCCACATACACCACAACAAAATGGTGTGGTAGAAAGGAAACATAGGAAAATTCTTAACATAGCTAGAGCTACCAGGTTTCAATCACAATTACATATTAGGGATATTGTATCAAGGCTGCTGTATATTTGATGAACAAATTACCTTCTTCAAGTATCTCAAACAAAAGTCCCTATGAACTTCTCTATTCTAAAATTCACTTGGTCATCTAAATGTTATAGGTTGTTTGTGCTATGCTACAGTGGTGCCTAAGAGTGATATATTTGCAAAAAGAGCTATTCCTACCATATTTCTAGTATACTTAGAGTTACAGAAAGGTTATGTATTGTTGGATATAAAGTCCAAGAAGTTTCTTGTGAGCAGAGATGTAGTTTTTCATGAAACTATCTTTCCTTTTTCTACAAAGGAAGTGTATACAAATACATTAATAGATGTATGTGGTTCTCCATTAGATGTTGCTGACAGTTCCATGATGGATTGTGATCTTGATGTTACTACAGACACAGAAGTTCATCATACTAATGATGATAATGATGTGAATACTAATGATGATGTAGACATAGAAGTTCTTCATGATAAGGGTGGAGCTGCAAACACAGACCATGATGACAGTACAACTAATATTCCTATTTTCACTGAGATTGTTAGAGTGCCTACTACAAGTGTCAGAAGGACTTCAAGGATTGTCAAGGGACCAGTTTGGAGGTAAGATTATGCAGGGAGGAAACAAAGTAGCACCAGGCATCCAATAACTAATTCTCTCAGCTATGACAGAGTTACATCTTGTTACAAGATATCTGTAAGCAAATTCTCTGAACGCATTAAACCTAAACATTTTCACCAGGCTGTCAAGGATGATAGATTGATCCAGGCTATGCAACAGGAGATCAAGGCTTTAGAAGAAAACAATACATGGTCAGTAGTTGATTTACCTAAAGGAATGTACAATGTGGGCTCTAAGTGGATTTACAAGATAAAATACAAAGCAGATGGTGAAGTTGAAAGATTCAAAGCTAGGTTGGTAGCTAAAGGGTACAGTCAGCACGAAGGATTAGACTATCATGATACATTCTCACTAGTTGCTAAAATGGTAACAACTAGATGTGTGATTGCCTTAGCTGTCTCAAAAGGGTGGCCTATATACCAAATGGATGTTTATAATGCCTTCCTTCAAGGTGATCTTGAGGAGAAAGTCTACATGGAGATGCCTGAAGGATTTAAAAAAACAGGAGAAAATAAGGTGTGCAAGTTACTTAAGTCTCTATATGGGCTTAAACAGACATCTAGACGTTGAAATTTGAAGTTGACTAATGCCTTAGTGGCAGCTGGTTTTACTCAAAATGGTCATGATTATTCCTTATTCACCTTGAAGAAAGATGCAGACAACGTAGTTATTCTAGTTTATGTTGATGATTTGCTGATTACTGGAAGTAATACTAAAATGATCAATGAAGCAAAGGAAAATTTGCATAAGCATTTCAAGTTAAAAGGCCTTGGTGAACTCAGGTATTTTCTTGGCATTAAAGTGTTGAGATCAGCAGAAGGAGTACTTTTGAATCAAACAAAATATGTGTTAAAACTTTTCCAAAACAGGTCTAACAGGTGTTAAACCTTCTTCTACCCCCATTGAGTTAAATCTTAGATTGACATCAATAGAATATGATCTGGATAATGGCCATATTGGAGATATTGTACTACAAGACATTACAGATTACCAAATGGTGGTTGGAAAGCTCTTATACGGTACTATTACCAGACCAGATATCCGCTATGCAGTACAAGTCTTGAGTCAATTTATGCAATCTCCCAAGAGGTCACATTGGGATGCATCAATAAGAGTGATTAAGTATCTTAAAGGAATAGTTGGTCAAGGAATCTGGTTACAATCTAAACCTGCTAATGTGTTATCATGTTGGTGTGATTTTGATTGGGTTGCTCGTCCTAATACCACGAGGTCTATTACATGTTATGTGGTTAAGTTTGGAGAATCACTTGTGTCATGGGAATCAAAGAAACAGCAGACTGTTTTCAGAAGCTCAGCTGAAGCTGAATATAGAAGCATGGTACCAGCTGTGTCTGAAATCACTTGGTTGTTGGGGTTGTTTACTAAGCTATGTGGAAATCTAGATGCTAATTCTTGTGTTCCGTGATAGCAAATCTGCTATACAACTAGCAGCAAATCCAGTTTTTCACGAGAGGACAAAACACATTGAAATTGACTGCCATTTCATCAGAGATAAGATCAAAGCAAGAGTTATTGATACAGTCCATGTTAATACTCAACAACAACTAGCATATTTGCTAACAAAGGGGTTGAGTCAAGCTCAACATTCATACCTTTTGAGCAAGCTTGGTGTGCTCAACATTTTGCGCCCTTCAGCTTTAGGGGGAATGTAGAAAACTATGCAATTCTGTTAGCTTTAATATCCTAAAGTTAGTTAATGTCAAGTTAGTTAGCTACTACAATAATTTAGTTAGTTGCTACAATAACTTTCCATTTTTCAGTTAATTAGCTTAGTATAGTTAATTGTTACTTAGCTAGTTAGTTAGCTCGATTAATGTGTACTTAGTTACCTCGAGAAATGTGTCATACATTGAGTTAGAATGCTATATAAGTTAGCATGAAGCTTCATTGTAAAAATACAAGTTCAATACTATTCTTCTTCCTCTTTCTCTTAATTCTGTCTAGATTCATTGTTGCAATGGTGAGTTCATGAACTCACATTTTATCACCTACAAAATCACTTAATCTATTTGATTAATGTTTTAATTAATATTTGTTGATATGAAAAGATATTAGATATCTACTAAAAATATAATATTGGACTGATCAGATTAATATATCACTACTAATTAGATCACCCCTCGATTAATCCGTACATGTTATGGCACAAATTATCAAGTACATCACATTAATTACTTTATTCTACCGCCTACCACTGTATGCATGATTTCTATTAATCCATTGTTAATTCACCTTTTAAAAATAGAGAAACCAACTTTTACTTTTTTTACCATGTCAGAACGAATAATTTCTAAAACAACGTGTTGTAAAAACAGATTGAACCACATCTCAGATTCTTTTTTACTTTCTTTTATTTTTATTTTTTTTGATATTTATAAGGTTTACTTTACGTATGATTATTGAAATTTAATTTTATTAAACGAAAGTCGCTAAATTATTTTTTTCAGAGTGCGAGTAGCGAACGAGCTAGGTGCTGGAAGAGGAAAGGCAGCAAAATTCGCAACAGCGGTATCAGTGATACAATCAACCATTATAGGGCTAATATTTTGTGTACTAATAATGATATATGAAGATAAATTTGCTCTAATTTTCTCATCAAGCTTTGATGTCCTAAAAGCTTTTAAGAAGATCTCTTACCTTCTTGCATTTACCATTCTTCTAAACAGTGTTCAACCTGTTTTATCCGGTAATTATTACGTTTTTAATTTTATTATACAAGAGTTTAACTTATATACGTTGAGGATCTGGTAAAACAAAATTAATCGAAAGATTTTTGTTTGTTACAGGGGTTGCTGTTGGTTCAGGATGGCAATCAAAAGTGGCTTATATTAATCTAGGTTGTTATTACCTTGTTGGAGTCCCTCTTGGAATTCTTATGGGTATGATTCTACACACTGGTCTTGAGGTATGCTGTTCATATTATTTTTATCATATAGTTATAAATTAATGTTTATTATAAACAATTATTTGAATTACATAATGTTGAATAGAATAGTTTGTGATTGGACACACTCTGGTAAATTGTCAATGCATTAAACAAAAATTCATTTATATATATTTATAAAAATGTTAAGAAAAATAATTGGGGTTATAAGTGAAAAATGGAATTGTAGGGCATGTGGGCAGGAATGATTTTTGGAGGAACAGCTTTGCAGACTATAATATTGGCTTTTATAACGTATCGTTGTGATTGGGAGAAAGAGGTACTAATAGTAATAATATCAAATATAAAATTTTTTATTTTTTATTTTATTTTATGAAATATAAATATATTAATATAAAAAATGATACAATTGTGCATTTTTTTTTTCCACAGGCTAAAAAAGCTAGAATGCATGTTGAAAAGTGGTCTGAGCCACCTCCAATTAGTCAATCGTAGATGATAAATGTTTTTTTTTTGCAAGTGGATTTTGTTTAATGACTAGATGAGGTATGCAACATTGTGACCTCTAAAAACTTTTTGGATTTGCGCTACCGTCGTAATTAATTTGTTAACAAAATAATTAAATAATAAAAATATTTTCTTTTTAGCAATATAAATTTTTAGATATTATCTCGGTATATTAATAAATAAATACTTAGATATATCCGATTATCCTCAAATAGTTTTTAATTCCGATCACATACCTTTTCATTCCATGCAATGAGACAAGCAAATAATATATAGAGATTCATTAAAGTTTGCCTTTATATCCATATACAGCATGAACTAGCTTATTGTTGCTATCAATGGTTAATTTACATGGTTAAATACAAAGCATCAGTTATCTCTCATCTTTCTTTTATGTTTTAGTATCTCATTTTCTTCATATTAAACTTTTTTTTGGTTAATCTTTCCTTAATTAATATGTTATTACTTTGTTATGCGATTTCAATTCAATCATATGTCAAAAAATATTTCTTTGGAAATTCTTATCATATATGAGGGAAAAAATTAAGTGATAATTGCCCAAGGAGCATTCTGGGTAAATAAAAGAACAACACAGCTATATTCTTCTATTTTATACCTCATCAATTTTAGCATATACTAACATTTATGTTCTATAATACAATATACATAATGAAAATAACTTTTGCTTTTAAAACTAAACCCACACTCTGATTCATGTGGTATATCAGTTTACAAAAATCATCCCCTCCAACAACATTTCAATTTAGTAGCATCTGATAACAATATCGAAGTTATATAATCTGTGTAAAAGTTTGCTTGACTTAACTTTAAAAAGTAGCTTTTAAAAAATTAAAATTAAGTAATTCTTAAGTTAATAAATAAAAGTAGGTGAATATCTACTTTTAACTTTTAGCCTTTTTAAATCATTTTAAACTAATTTAAGCTATTTTAACTTTGTCATATACTTTCAAAAACTAAAAATAATAACTTAAAAATAAATTTTATCAACTTTTAAATAGTTAATCCAAACAAGCTAATATTAAAAGCCTGATAAACACTCAATTATATGTAAAAGAGAATAATTTTTAAAATAACACATTTTAATTAAATTTTTCTTATATTTATTAGTCTTCTTCATTTGTGAGATGAGAGAAAGAGAGCAAATTCTCTTTTTATATTGTTCTTTATCCTATTATATTGAGTTTTATTATTTTAAATTTTTATTACTTTCTGACTCCTAATTTTATATCGAAAAATTTATTAAATTTAATAAATACATTTATATTAGATGAGATATTTTTAAAGAAGACAATACCTTTTAACATACTTTAAACTAATAATATTTTTACCAGTGTTTATGATGAAATACTTCCCATAAATTTTAATTTTAGACAAGATATAATTGAAAATAGTTAGAGAAAACCAATTAATCAAATAATATTTACAAAAGATAATTTCACACACGCGTTTATGTGTTAATTAATTTTATTATTATTAGATAGATAAAAATCAATCCAAACAAAATCATCAACCCCTAATTACATCAGTACTTAGGTTTGTCGTATATCTTGTTATCAAGTCATGTTTACAAATCAAAACAAAGTTTCCATCCAATTGTTTGAGTAGTAGCCATTTTTTATTTTGCTACTTCCCCGTTCTATCTTTATGTATATACTACGCTTTTGCGTTTTACCTATCAAACTGTTTACATTTAAATTTTTTTTAGAACATTTTCTTAACGATATTTTTTAATAATAATGGCAATGACATATTAATTAACACTATTAAATACAGTAATTTCTTGCTTTTTGATTATTCTTTTGTCACTCATTGATACTCTTTACCTTTTTGCTTTCTTGGTGAGGTAGAATGTTTTATTAATTATTTTTTTAGGTGAAATGAAGTAGAACTTTTTTTAAGAAAATAAAAAAATATCTTTAAAAAAAGAAGAAGAAGAAATCCGAATTCAACTAAAATGACGTTATAGGAAAGAAATTATTTTATTTATTTAGAATTGTTATTTGAAATCAAGTCTTAATGTTTCAAATCATTTTTTTAATGTTTAATCTAAAGAAAATGATATTTTTATTTTGGTCGATTAAATATAAAAAAGATCAGGCAAAAAATTTTATTGACAAAGGGAAGGTATAAATCACCTTTCGAGTCTAATGATTTTAGCATAACTGCTTTATTAACTTACATTATCTTAACATAAAAATTAGTGTTTAAACGTGTAAGAAATAATCACATGTTATATTAATTTTGTTATAAAATTAACGATATAAAAAATTGAAGCATATTTAAATATTAATTACAATATTAAAATGAAGCATACATATTAAATTTTGAGCAAACTATGTACTAGCACTGAAATCATGTCTTATATAATCATGAAAATAAATCATAGTGTTACTTTTTGTGAAGAACAATTTACCGATAAAATGTGTTTCTCTGCCTTTTTTTTTCCTTCTCTTTTTTTTCTGTTCTTGTGAGTTTGTGTTGTTTTTTCTCTTCCCTAAAATGTGAATATAATGATTTGAATATGATTTGAAAGAGTAAAGCAAGAACATTTTACAAAATTGTGTCCAGATGCTGCTATAGGTATCTTTTGTACTACTTTGTTTGAATGGTTGTTACGTGTTATTTGAAAATATATTGCATTGCAGTATCGAATTAGTGTTACATAATGTCACAATTCATAATTTGAATGATAAAGTTACAAGAAAAGTAGGCATAATAGAGCTACTACAAAAAAACTAGGATACAACGAGAAGAGAAAACCGGCAACCTTTGTTGTTGGCGGAGGTGACCTCCGCGAACTGGTTGTCGGAGGATAAAATTGAAAGAAGGGATGATGATCATAAGTATCTGAAAATAAGAGTACGGATCGAAATTACTGTAACAAAATATTTTTTAGCGTCAATTCAAAATTACTACAATAAAAATACCTTTTAGCAGCAATAAATATATACATTAAAAAGAGGGTTAAAATTTTTAATGACATTAGTTAACTGTAATTGGATCCAATATCACTAAAGTTTTTATAAACATATACAAGAGTGCCAATTGCCGCTAAAAGTTCATATTTAGTGGCAATTAAGTCATTACAGTGATTAATTGTCGATAAAGATTATTTTTGATATAGTGAACAAATAATGAACCCCTAATTAGGGTTATATATAAAATATCAAAAACTGAATTTGTCAAATCGAATCAATTTTATTTTATTTATTTTTTATTAAATATTCAGTAATTTTATATAATGTTCAGGAATAAAACTTTAGAACTACGGTATTTAAGTATGAATTTAGAATAAGACATTAGTATCACTTGATATTTGGTATATTGTGAATATTGAATTATTTACTTCATAAAATTCATCAACAAGTCCATTATTCATTAGTACAAGTCATTAAAGGAAGTTCATTACTAAACATAAACAATTCAAATACATGTCATCATATAATTCTATATATCAATTTACATTTTTTGATGTCTTTTTTCTTGTTGATCTTCCATTGTATCATACCTCCACATAAAAAA